GGAGTCCCATCCATTTCCTATTTGTTGTGTATTTTTTTGCGCTGTTAAACCTTAAGTATGCTAAATCAACTAGCCCAGTCAGCCACTCTCTACAATTCCTTCGGAGTGGTGAAATAAAAATTTGGGAGCTGAAAATAATTTTGTTGTCCTGCATGCACTTCTGAACGATTATGACAAACAAAAGTTGCCAAGATGTTTTTTAATAAAACATTTACAATTCAACTAATTCAATGCTAAACAAACTAGCCCAGTCAGCCACTCTTTACAATCCCTTTGGAGTCCCATCCATTTCCTATTTGTTGTGTATTTTTTTGCGCTGTTAAACCTTAAGTATGCTAAATCAACTAGCCCAGTCAGCCACTCTTTACAATTCCTTTGGAGTGGTGAAATAAAAATTTGGGAGCTGAAAATAATTTTGTTATCCTGCATGCACTTCTGAACGATTATGACAAGCAAAAGTTGCCAAGATGTTTTTTATTAAAACATTTACAATTCAACTTATCAGATACAGGGCTACAAGTTATAATAAAAAAAGTAATTAGGGACACCATTCAAATGCAATTAGTAGAGCAATATAGTAGTAGCCACACAGGCTGTATTCGTTCTAAGCAAAGGTCAAGTGCTACAGCTGCACTCGTAAGTGAAAGCTGCATCCCTGGCTAGATGAGAGATGTGACGCAAAGACTGTCAACCTCACTGTCCGTGGTTTTGGGACGTTAAACCCCACATATCAATCAGCCTCACTGTCCAGTAGCTTTCTATATTCCAGTATGTATGTAATGGGTCGAGGGCAATAGTGGCTCTGGGGCAAAAGTAGGAAGAACGCTGCCCCTCTTCGTCGCTCGAGAGCCAGCCCTGACGGATGCGTTTTTCAGGAGCCAGCTACTCTGCGATTTATTCAAGGCCCACTGTACTTCTTAAGCCTCGTGACAAACTGGTGGAGTTGTTGGGTAGCCCTAGTGGATATTTCAAATCTTTCAACATGTACAACCTTCCTTCGTCATGCGACTCTTTATGCTGTATTTTTAATACATTTTTATCGATATTTACTTTAGTATTATGATTACTTCTTTGTTATTGCTATTAATTATTGAACAAAGTCATTGCAGACCTTGTTCATCTTCGTCTCGACAGCAGCCATATTATAGACCTACACGGAGTGCCTAATTGTGACCTTGTTTGTGGATGGATGGAAAGCCTAAATTGCTCTGCTCTTGAGTGTTTTAAGAGCTCAGCGACTTCTTTCTCCTCCACACGTGCACTGTGTCTTTTTCGGGTTAATCTGCAATACTGCCATCCTAATGTCTGTAATTTTTTGCATCTGCTCTTTGGCCGTTTTCTGCTTGACAGACTTACATCGAGCCACTGTTTGTTTTCGTGAACATGGCAGTCTAGTGTTTAGCTGTAGTCTATCGCTGGCAGTGCCCTTAGTTGGGCTTTAAGGTCAAATTCATAAAGAAGAGGCATTTTCTAAGTTTGCACCGGGAAGAGTGATAATGTGTTCTCCTATTTAGCAACAAAAAGCCTTCTGGCCAAAACAAAATTGTTTGAGATGAATGTGGCCTTTTTTTTTTGTATCCGGTACCTGTCCAGAACATTTTATCGAACCAAGATCATTGTATAGTTTAGTGCTATAAATTCTGTTGCACTGGCAGTGATGAATTCTAGTGGCGGAGGTTGCTGGGCATGGTAGTGAATTATGACGGTAGGAAGAGCGCAATCATAAAGCACAGGACCACGAAAGAACACATACAACAAAATAAGTGCTGACTATAAACTATTTTGGCTGTGTTTACCATGTATAAATATGCATAAACCATGAACAAAAAACAAAAAAGCAATCATTTGATAACCATGCAACGGCTGTGAGATATTTTTAACTAGTTGTGTTGTGAAGCCCTCCATATTATTACAGAAAGCAGAAATTTGATATCTTAATGCGCACTGGTATGCTCTTTTTGTTATTTAATCGTGCACACTTGGTTTTTGTCGTGTGTTGTATGTGTCTTTTCAATAAAAATCTTGGTTATTACAATGGAACTGTCATTTATACAAACATCAGTTTAAGAAACATTTAGGAAAAACCAGCCTTTAGAAAGTCCTCAGTAGTTTTTCTACACATTAAATGCAAATATCTGTGAATTAAATGAACTTTACCTGCAGATTTGGGTGCATCTTTAACATCAAATCATCTTAGTTTTACAGCACTGCAGCTGGATGTCGACAGCATTGCTGTGTTTTAGATTATAGGAAATGGTTTACAGTTTCATCTGGAGCAGGAGGAAGAGTGCAACGAAGAAGCTATAATGGCTGAGGCAGGTTCAAATCCGCTATCTTCAGCTAAGGCTGTAGGATGGCAAATTAGAAAGTTACGAGAATTTGTGTCGCAGCAGCAAGCGGTGTCACAGGCTGTGCACTGAAATGTTGACTCTTTGGGCAGCGTTGTCTCTGTGTGCACTTTAGGGGCACCAGTCCAAATGAGAATTACACAATTCTTTTTCAATTAAATGGTGCTTCCCGCTGTTGACTTCATATCTGGTATACATAGTACTGTTATATACTCAAGGGAGTGTTGAATCCAGGAAACTTTCAGCTATGTGAACTATTTTCTTGTGTCCCTTGAATTTCAATCATGTGAGAGTTCAGTGCAGTATGTATTTGGGCTGTTGTTTCTTTGTCCACATTTTTTCGTGCACTTTTTCTGTTATGGAATACCAGCTCACTCAACAGCCATGTTCTTGTAAGGCAAAGTGATGGCAGCCTTCCTAAAGATTTCTTGAAGCACGCTTCAAATGTTCTCTTCAGAGCCGGCGTGTTTCAGTGGTCAAACACCTGCAGGTGCACTGTCATCCATTGGTAGAGCGAGGGTGCTTTTGCTGCACCGAGAACAGCCAGGAGCAGTTCGCAGTGCTCTCGCCTGAAAAGTGGAGTAGGCGCAGTACGACGAGTCACGTGGCCTCTGAACGTCACTGTCTCCCAATTTTTCTTTAGCCGGCAAGTGCGGTGACAATGGTAGCAACCATGTGTAGTTGGACACCGCTGTTTCGTATGAATGGCTAAAATGACAGCTGAAGGTCTGCCGAATGCGTGGTTGCACAAACATACTATGTATTAGGACAATGAAGAACATGCGGCTGGCGGATTCACGCGTATTCTGCTGCTGCCACACAGAGATTATGCCGGGGCTTGGAATGTTTCCATCACATGGTCTCCCACTCATCACCCCCTTCAACTGCCCTCTGTGAGCGCACCGCATTCCAGTGACAGGTTGAGTGGCCCTGCTCTCAGTGCTCTGCCCCCCACTCTTCATTGCCCTGCCCCTCTACTCCTGTTCTCCCAATGGAATTCACCAATTGTGCACTCTCATTTCAAACAATATAGGTCGCTTACCTACAGGTCACACACCCAATGACTGGAAAGTGGGGAGGTCGTTCTTATCCGTCTGACAGTAAGCAGTCATCATTGAATTATCATTCAATATTATTAGCAAGTATATTGTTTAAAATAATCGAACATGTCATTTATTTGCAAATCATGACCTTCTTTAATTTAAATGATTTTTTCCATCCTTCACAACATGGTTTTTGTAAAGCTCTATCCTGTCGAACTCAGCTAGCTAACTTCCTTCATGATCTACAATTAAACTTAGACTGTAACCAAGAAACTGATACCATCTTTTTAGATGTCGCGAAGCGTTAGATAAGGTGTTTCATAAGCTTCTTCTTTTTAAACTTTCAAGCTCGAACATTATCCTTTTAACCTTTGTGTTTTTTTTTTTTTTTAATTCGATTACGGCTAGGAAGTGCTCACAGTCAGTTTTTATTAATGAGCCTGTTTCTAACCCTCTTCCAGTAACCCTCTTCCAGTGTTCTTCAAGGTTCGGTTTTAGTCCTTCTATTGTTCTTAATATACATTAATGACTTACCTTTACACATTCTATGTCACATCCCATGTTTGCAGATGACTGCATCATTTATCATACTATTTCTGATTGATCTGAACAGCAAGCACTTCAACATGATCTTAACTCTATTTGAGCACGGTGTGACCAGTGGCTCATGACACTTAACCAAACTTAATGCAAATCATTATTTGTGTCACGTCGGCAAAACCCTTTAACTTTTCCTTACAGAGTCGGTAATGTAGACTTAGACAGAGTTGAATCCTATAAGTACCTGGGTGTAACATTGTCTAATGATTTAACGGGGGGGGGGGGGGGGGGGGGGGTCTGTATGGCACTAACATAATAGCGGGAGCTAACAAATCACTGTTTTTCTAAAATGTCATTTGCGTCGTGCTCCCAACTATCTCAAACTTCTAGCCTACAAATCCATAATCAGACCAAAACTTGAATATGCCGCTCTCATTTGGAGCCCGTCTCAGGCTTATTCAACGAATTCACTTAAGGCACTGCGGAACTCTGCCATACGATTTATTCATTCATCCTGCTCTTATCATATCGAAGTGTGGTCGTTGAGGGAAGAATAATCTTTATCAACTCTTGCACTTCGTCGTCGCATTGCCACTCTAGCTCTGTTCCACAAGTTCTATTACAACTCACATGACCCCCCGCACTTCATCACCCCGCCAGCCCGCATAGCTCATCAAACCGGTCATGCTTTGCAAGTCACCCGACCGCGCAGCCACACCAAGACATTTCTTGCCTCTTTCTTTCCACCGTCATCATCTGAATGGAACGACCTTTCCCAAAGCATTGCCGCCATTACCTGCCCGACCTTATTCTTGCAAAGTTTAACACATTACCAGCCTCAAAAATAACATATAAGTGGTTACCATTTTTATACTTTCTCTATATACACCCCTTATGTAACACGCCCTGGAGGGGCGTGTCTTTGATGGAATAAAATCGAATGAAACAAAATGAAATCATGTGTCACCAACTAGCCCAATCAACCCTATTGACAGTCTATTCCATTTTTGGGAAAGAAACTTCGAGGAATGTTCTTTGAGAAATGTTTTGAGGTTGCCCATTTTTGCAGCTGCAGACAGGAGACGGTGGCTTGAGGAGCCTTTATGGAAGCTCAGGGTTTCGTTGCGGAGATGCAGCCCCTGAGCTCGAGTCACGTCCAGCAGCCACAGAACTCACCCTCGCAGGCCCAGGCCGTTGTTTCCCAGCCGGCAACCACCATGCAAGCAGCTACCACGGCAGCCTCGCAAACACAGGCAGTGGTGGGTACAGCTCATCTTCCCTCCTCTCTGACCATCGTGCATGTTCGCCCACTGCAAGAGCGCGCTAATTTGTGCTGCATGTCAAGTGGTTGCACTAGTCAGCACTGTCTTTCGGTTTCGTTCCCCTGTCTAGCGTGTAAGTTTTGCGGCAATCACTCGAAATGCAAAACCATGAGCTCAGCTGAAAACCGTTCTAATTTGTGCTCATTACCAATTTATGGATACCTCAATTCCAAGCAGGGATAGTCGCATAGCGTTTCATACAGCAATACCTAAAGGGTAATCTGGCACCACTAAGCACTGTCTACGCAAGCTTTTTTAGTGACGCTTGTGCCCTCTTGGGAATTATGGGAAGTACAGGATTCGGATCTGCTTCGTTCGCGAACGCTTCTTTTCCGAGTGTAAAACTAAGTAATATGAAGTTATATTCAGTCGAAACTTGCTTCATTCTTTTGCACGTAAATCTTGTTGCAAAAAGTTTCTGTGGCCATGATGCAGAAGTGAAACCTGAACAAACTTGACCACCAAGGTATGCATTGCTTTGCCATTGCATTCCAAATTTGCCATCAAAATACATATCTTGAATTATTTTTATAACACTTGAAAACAAACATGCTTGTTTTTTCATCAAAAGTACACATTCATATTTATTGAAATAACAGTACTGTATTAAATGAGAAACACTTGTTTCTTCTGCTTCGATGCCTGGTGAGTCTGTCCAGTGGTGAGCCTTAACGCACCTCTCGTTTTGCTTTGAAGTCGAGTCAGAAAAGTGCGAAGGTGTGTCTACTTAGCTTCGTCATAGTTTTGTAGTGTATTTAAACTAGCCTTAGCAAGAAGCGATTGTGAAAGATCATGAACTCAATGCAATACCCTGCACTGGCGTGGGACATTTATGCGCAGTTGTGAGTGGACGACGCTTTGCTTAAACTGTCAAATACAACTTGTAAAGCTCCGTTATCACAGCAAATCTCATACCTAGTGGTCTTCAACTTCTTTGAACAACAAAAGCGCTGCTTCGGTGTTTTTCACCGCACCCCACTACCCATTCTGTAGATAGAACGAAACTGTAGAAAAATCTTCATAGACAGTTAACCTAATGCAATCTAATCCAAAGCCTGTATTTCTCCACAATTCCCATGGGGCTACACGATCGCAGTGCCACATCCTCTCCAGGTAATATTGTATGACACTATATGGATTGTAGTAGCATGAGAATAACATCTGCAGCAGCAGTGCTGAAAATCGGCACATTAGCGGCAACTGGCGTATAGTTGAACCCACTTATAATGATATCGGTTTAACAATATGTCGGTTATAACAATAAGAAGCCGGTGGACCATCAGGTTTTGTATGTCTGATATTTCCTTTGTTGACCCTAAGGGACCAAGAACAGGCATTGCAAAGGGGGAGGGGAGAATACAATACATGGATCAACGATTGCAGAAAACCTAATAAGAGAAAGAAGCATGAAAAAAGAAAAAAATGCAACAACATGCAAACACAGTTCAGTTACAAGTTCAGTAGAGTAAAAAAAAGACGATCAATGAATGTATGACAAAGTACAAACTAGCAAGAAATATACATAAAATAAATGCAAACTTGGAATCGGACAATTCAGCTAGTATGGCAGGACTGCTTATTTAGGTAAGATAGTAGGGCTGACTGGAAACCAGTCAAAGCTTTAATATTTTAAATGCTATGAAGAAGGGCGTTTTACTCGTTTATTGATAAAACCGAAGGAGACTAAATATTTTACTGTGCGAGCAAATAGTGGACATACCTTGTGATCGTAATCACATTGAGCTGAAATGGTTACGACTGGATTGATTGATTGATATGCGGGGCTTAACGTCCCAAAACCACCATATGATTATGAGACGCCGTATTGGAGGGCTCCGGAAATTTCGACCACCTGGGGTTCTTTAACGTGCACCCAAATCTGAGCACACGGGCCTACAACATTTCCGCCTCCATCGGAAGTGCAGCCGGCGCAGCCGGGATTCGAAACCGCGACCTGCGAGTCAGTAGCCGAGTACCTTAGCCACTAGACCACCGCGGCGGCGCATGGTTACGACTGGATGAATGAATTTCCGTGAGAGAGAGCTGTTGCTAAAGTAGATGTGAAAAAAGGATAATGTGGAATATATTCTGTGGTAATGAGTGGTAATATACCAAGAGTTCTTATTATTGATTAAAGGTGAATATGAAGAAGCAATGAACCTAGCGGGTTTATTTTAAATTGACTCAATCACATCAGAAAGATATGCTTGATGGGAATGCCACATGTTAGAAGCACACTCTAAGGATGGTTGAAGGAGTGAATTAAATGCCTGAAGTTTAGTGTCGGAAGTAGCCAGATGTTGGGGGCGTTTTAAAAGGCCAAGCTTACCAAATGCTTAGCTGCTCTACTTAAGTTTTCAATGCCGAGTGATACCTAAGAATTTAATGTACAGTACTGTTTCATTGAGACAGTTGTTAATGAAGTATACATTCGCAAATAGATAGGCATCTCGATCGAATATAGCATGTTTGGTCTTTTCAACATTAATTTTCATTCGCCATTTGCTGCGCCATTGGGAAAGTGTCGTTAAGTCAGGTTGCAGGGCTAAAATGTCGTTCTGGTTGCCTATTTTTTTATATATTATGCAGTCATCAGCGAAAAGTCATACGGTAGACTGCATGGTTGATATAGATTAGAAATAGCAGTGGCCCTGAAACGTACCCTTGTGGAATGCCCCACTTGACCTGCATCTGTTTAGATATATAGGAGTTTATTTTTGCACACTGAAATTTGTTTGTTGGAAAGCCATCAATTCAATTAAATGTTTTTTTTTTTTACCTAGCCGGAGACTGCACAGTTTTGATAAAGGACGTTAATGAAAAACACGATCAAACAATCAATAAAAATCAATAAAAATTGCATCAAATAAAAATGGCTTATCGATGGAGCTTTGTAAATCAGTGATTAGCTCAAACAGCTGAGAGAAACAGGATTTATGTTTCTCAAAGCCTTGTTGGTTTTCAAAAAGTAGGTTGTTGGATTAAATGTGAGACATTATGTGGCTGTATAAAATATGTTTGAGTATCTTGCAACAAATGAATGTCAGAGAAATAGGACGGTAATAGCGATGTGGTTGTCTCCAGATTTAAAGCAAGGAATGACAATCTCAATTTTCCAGTCATCAAGAAGGCACCCAGAATCCAGTGGCTGTTGAAATATCAGAGATAAGAGGTAGGATGATTTCATTGGTGACAGGTTCAAAAGCTTTGCGCTGATACCGTCCGGACCAGGAGAAGTTTTGGACTGTAGCCTTTCTATAGCACATGCTACGCCAGTTTCTGTTATCGTGATAGACTGAGACTCTTGTAAAGTTGTATCCAGTGGAGGCATCATTGTTTGTAGTGGCAATTAGGCGTAAAAAAACCGAAGCTAAGTGCTGATTGAAAATTTTGGCAGATTCTTCTACCGACCATAAGGTATCACTTTCACATTTAAGTTGGATGCTAGATTGCTTGTCTTTTGGATTGATAACCCACAAAAATTTTCAGGTTCTGTTCTCATTAGATTGGATGGAGACTTGTCAAAGTATATGTTTTTAGCATCATTTATAGTGGATATTGCTGACTTAGCTTTTAGTAACTCGCTCTTTGATCTCAAAGCTTTTCTAAATGCCTGTTTCATTTTGTTAATCGCTCGGTTCATGTCCCGAGTGAACCAAGAATCATCTGCTTTGAACGAGAAGATTAATTTTGGCACACAGTGATCTTTCACTTTTTTAAGAAAAATCTTTAAATAAAGACTAGTTGTCATTAACTGATCGATTAGCAAAATTGTAAAGGTAACCAGCCACGAATTCCGTAAACATTTGGTTGATTTCTGTTGGAAATGCATGTGCCCTTTTGTAAGGAGTGAGAAAGACTACGTAGACTGAGAGAGAGAGTTTGGCTTGTGTGGCGTTTGAGTATAGCCATGGTGGCGTGTGTTTTATTATGTGTTAGTAAATTATTCTTTTTATTACGAGGTCTCGTGTGCCTCAAGAACGCCGCAAAAGACAACATTTCAGAAGTGGAATTGGTAATCCAGTTGCCAACGAATGAGTGAACGTAAATTTGATCAATGCTCGGAACTGGTTAGCCATAAATGGAAAGCACTGACGAACGAGTCAACCCGATTGGTGGTGGAGACGTGAACTCCGACCAGGGAGACAGGATCACCGCTCGTGAAATACTACAAGCTATGCAGGCAAAAAATTTACTACTAGCAACCCTGCTGGAACAACTGGTTTTGGCCGGTGCAGCACAGCCTCAACCAGCGCCAACATTCCAGGTGATCGCTGATTTTAGCCTCATCATCAGTTTCTTTGACGGCTCCGAAGACGCTCTTTCAGCACACGAGTGGATTGAGAATATGTGCAAAACGTCATATCTTCATGGGTGGCCAGCTGCATACACGCTAGAAATTGCCAAAGCCCGACTGGTTGGAGCTGCCAAGGACTGGTACCATTCAAAGAGCTCCCAGATCACATCGTGGGAAGATTTCAAGGTACGTTTCCGTCGTAAGTTCGTCAGCCAGACTCGCGTTGCGGAACGATGGTGCAGGGTGCAAGAAAGCGTGTAGCAGTGTAACGAGAGCACCACTGCTTACTTCCATTCCTAGGTGCGTCTTTGCCACAAACTCAACCTCGACTTTACGGATACACAAGAACAAGTTATATTGGGGTTGAGTACTCGCGAACTTAGCAACATACTCTTGGGTAGGATGCATGGCGATGTCGGCGATTTACTTCACGACATCTTGGAGCTTGAACATATCGAATGGGAACGACAGCAGATTATCGGCACATGCAACCAAAGGCTCAAACCACCATCAAGTTTGGAACGCTGCCTGACCGATGACAAGAGAATCGACAACCGACGCGAACCAAGGAGTGGAATGACGCCAACCATTGCCGCTCGTTAATCAACACGCCACGCCAGTGACTAACGTTTAGATGACA